ATTAAAAAAAAAAAGTAAACCCAGGAAAGTTCTCTGCTTTCAGCAGTGTCTGAACTGATTCGCAGGTGATGGCGCTAACTAGATTCCTGCACTCTGTGGAGAATGTTCCAGAAGCCCTAGCTCACGTACTTTCCCCCAGAGGTCAGGTTTCCACCTGAAGCAGCCGGGCTCAGGCTCCAGCACATGCTCGCACCGGGGCTGGGGTGCGAGCAGAGAGGCGACAAGGCCGTCTCGTGAGGGACACGGTCTGCTTCTCAGCCAGGCTCGCCTGATGTCCCTATCCAAGGGCATTTGGCTGTTCTGAGATGTTGGCCTTCCCTGGTCAGTTGTGGCTTCCACACAGAGCAGCCCACCACGGGCCTCCTGCCCGCACGAGCTGTGGGTGTCTCACAACACTCGGAGCTGTCACAGTCTCAGAGGTCAGCTACCTGTGCATGACTTACCTGGTCCCCTGCCGACCGTCCTGCCAGGCTTCAACCAAGGGTTGGCTGGGCTGTGGTCTCCTCAGGGGTTAACTAGGGTTGGGGAGGGGCTGCTTCTCACTCATGTCATCACTGGCAGCATTCAGCTCCTGTGGTTGCAGGAGTGGAGGCTTCGGCTCCTTGCTGGGCACCTGTGGGAGCCCAGCCTCCGTTCCCTGCCCCGTGAGAAGGAAGCTGGCAGCACGGGGCATGGCCTTATAGGACGGGCGTTACAATTGGGCCTGCATCCTGCCGCTTGGAGGCGCTCACCCGAGACCGCAGCACCAGGAGGCAGGGGCTGCTCCAACAGCACATCTTACAAAGATGTCGGGCATTCACTGGCACATGAGGACCTCAAAAAGTCATGTCGTGGTGAATGGAATTAAAAGATATGTTTATCCTGGTGTACAACTTTTTTTAAAAAATCCACCTAGATTTTTCATAATATGAATTTTCATGAACTTTCTGAAGACCCCTCATATGTTGAAAAATGTCACTGTAAGGACACAAGATAAGGGGCTGGTGCTATGGTGTAGTAGGCTAAGCCTCCGCCTGTGGGGCCCATTCGTGTCCCACCTGCTTCCCTTCCAACACAGCTCTCTGCTATGGGCTGGGAAAGCAGTGGAGGACTGCCCAAGTGTTCGGGCCTCTGCACCTGCATGGCAGATCCGGGAGAAGCCCCTGGCTTCAGGTTGGCCAGCTCTGGCTGTTGTGGCCATTTGGGGAGTGAACCAGCAGATGGAAGATCTTTTTTTCTGTCTCTCCCTCTCTCTGTGTGTAACTCTACCTCTAAAATAAATAAATAATTTACAATGACAATTTTAAAAAAAAGGGCAAAAGATAAGGAGGCAAAGTTGCTCATGGGTTTACAAAGGAATCAGCGAGCTAAGATCAGAGGACAGCTGAGTTCCTTTCTCATATGTGGGTGAATTACAAAATGCATGGTGCAGAGTCGAGTGCACTGGGCTGGTGCATCTGACAGCAGGAAGGAATGGACCAATAATGCATGAACTGTTGAAGTTATTTTTTGACATTTGCTACGTAAATGCAATGTGCTAGCATCTTACTCATTTACTGCTCATACTGCCCCAAGTGGTCATTAGTTTGCTTTGGTGGCGCAGGTATTGAAATGGTGCAGCCAGGGTCCGAGCCAGCATTTTTAACCTCTCTGCATATCCTGTCGCTCTAAGTTGGGGGCAATGGCTGAGGGTGGGAGAACCCTTCCCCCTAATTAATTAGTTCTGCCTCCTGAAACTCAGTGCAGCTGGGCGGTTGGGGCAGGAGGGGAGAATGGGCAGTGATCTGGTGGCAGGAGCAGGTGTGCCGGACTGCAAGAGAGAAGCAGCGTGAAGAGGGGTGAGCAGCACCAGGGCTGGACAGGCAGCACGGCAGGTGCTGGCCCACATGGAGGAGACAGCGGGGTGGGAGGCGGTCTCTGCTCTCCACGGGGCAGAGGCACGGGGCATCGGAGTGCTCGGCCACAGGCAGCAGAGGCCACTGGAGTGAGAGCTCAAGCTGGATGGGGGAGGGGCCCGCAGTGCCGCTTCTGGTGATACCAAAGGCGCTGAGAGGTGTGGCTTCTGGGGCCTGGCTCCTGGGGTGGGCAGGGGGCTTCAAGACTGCTCCCTGCAGGCGCCGCGGCTCACTAGGCTAATCCTCCACCTTGCGGCGCCAGCACACTGGGTTCTAGTCCCGGTCGGGGCACCGGATTCTGTCCCGGTTGCCCCTCTTCCAGGCCAGCTCTCTGCTGTGGCCAGGGAGTGCAGTGGAGGATGGCCCAAGTGCTTGGGCCCTGCACCCCATGGGAGACCAGGAGAAGCACCTGGCTCCTGCCCCTGCCATTGGATCAGCGCGGTGCGCTGGCCGCGGCGGCCATTGGAGGGTGAACCAGAGGCAAAGGAAGACCTTGCTCTCTCTCTCACTGTCCACTCTGCCTGTCAAAAAAAAAAAAAAAAAAAAAAAAAAGACTGAAAGACTGCTCCCCAAACGTCTCTGGAAAAAGCAAGGTGTACACTCGTCTTTCCTGAATCCTATCTGATGTTTTCTTCCCCCAACCCCTGTAGCTGTTCTAAGATTTATTTATTTATTTATTTATTTATTTATTTATTTATTTATTTATATTTCTAATCTATGAAATCTGACTGCTTTCAGAATCTAAACTTTGTAAAGCGTCGGTTCAAGTGAGGATTTTAGAGCTGGGTGTCCATTCTCTGTCTCTGACGGCGACCACGCAATCTCAGGGCACAGGTGACCAGTGCTCACCGGGGCTGGGCTTCATGCACCAAAGTGCCCCCCACCACCCGCAGGCCAGCCCGGGTGGGGGTCTGCCTGCTGGAGACAGGTTCTCCAGGTGTGGAAAGCCAGTGGACCCCAGCTGCTGAGCTGCAATGAACAGGGAGACCTACCCCACAGCGCAGGGGTTCTAGAGACCGGATTGGGGCATCCTGGTCCAGCCTGCAGGACCTTGGAATCCAGGGCAGCATCCCAGCCTGGACCCTGGAGATGGAAGTTGCCGGAGGAGCTGGGGAGGGCAGGCAGCCTGATGGAGCCCATGCTTGCTGCAGTGGGCCAGGGGTCAGCAAGCAGACGCAGCACCTCACCCCTCCCTCCCCAGGGGCTTGGTTGGGAGAGAGGGACCGAATGCATGGGTTCCATATTTGAGGCAAGGGGGATGAGGCTCCGTCACATCAGGGGCCTGAGCAGGAGACTTCAGCTGTCTCAGTTCCCAGGGAGACGCAGGAGCCCCCCCCATGCTTGCCTCGATTGTCACCCCCGGCAGGGACGTTCTCATCACTCCTGACGGTGCCAGCCCTGAGCACCGCTGGCTGAACACAGAGGGCCGGGACCCTGACCTCGCTGGATTTTAGCTTTGTCCTGGACAGTCACTAGCTGTGGCCTTCCTCTAGGTGGCAGGAGAGAGCTGACACTGCTCTTGGTCCTGCGTGTGCCTGTATCTCTGACCGACAGCCCTGGCTTGGGTGAGGAGTGGGTGAAAGGCAGATCCCCAAGTCCCTGCCGGGAGGGCCAGCCACCCTCGCGTCAGGGTGCCAGAGGCTCTGGCACTGGCTCCCAGCAGGCCGATGAGTCTCAAACAGGCAAAGTAACTGGTAAAACACTCTCCACCTGCTAAGCCAGCCCCTCTCTCTCCTGCACCCACACAGGAGCCGGGGCCAGTGGGGAGAAGGCAGGTGCAAGGGTGGGGCACCAGAGGCTCCACCCCCCTCCCTCTCAACTCGGGCTCTGAGTGGGGGAGGGGGAAGCAGGCTGAGGAGCCATGGGAGGGCTTTGCTTCTGTCCTGGCCTGGGCAAGCGGCCCCCGCAGAGAGACTGTCCAAGCATGGGGAGCCCCATGGTGATGGAGTTAGGTGGTGGGGCCTTGGGAGGTGGTGGGATCAAGAGGGTGAAGTCTCACAGAGGGGGCTAGGGTCCTTATCAAAGAGACCTGGGACAGACCCCTCGCCTTCCACCAAGCGAGGACACAGCAAGAAGACCCTCCGTGGACACTGGATCTGGGGCCTCCATCTTGGCCTTCCCTGTCTCCAAATGGGGAGAAATCTGCTTCTGTTTTCTATAAGCGACTGAGTTTACGGTGCTTTGTCAGCAGCCTGAGCTGGGACAGGGTTCTTTCTCACCAGGGCACAGAAGGCTGGGGCACCAGGGTGACTGGTACAGGTAGGAGCTACAGGTTTAGAGTCCTGATTCCCCTGCACCCCTGGACTCCAGGTGGTACTGTGGTGCTCCTCTCAGAGCTGAGTCAGCACTTTGACACTGAGGTCAAAGAACAGGTGGAGAAGTGGATTGGGAACCCCTGAGGGGACGTCCCCACCTTGGGCCACCTGTGCACTAAGGGGCTGGGCTTGCCAGACTGTTATGGCGGAAGCCCCCAGGCCTGTGTCTGGGTGCTGTCCCTGTCATTCCAGCATCTTTTCAGGATCCAGACCCCCATTAGGGCTGTCACGCCTCACTTTTTACCTTGGGTTTCATTTGCAGAAGCAGCAACCTGTGTTTTTCATTGTTCTTTTGTCTTTAGCAAATTTAGTTTTTTTGAATTAATTTTTGTATTTGAGCACAGAGAGAGAGGAGAGACAGAGAAAAAGGTCTTCCATCCTCCACTGTCACTCCCCAAATGGCTGCAATGGCTGGAACTGAGCCAGTCCAAAGCCAGGAGCCTCCTCCAGGTCTCCCTTGTGAGTACAGGAGCCCAAGCGCTTGCGCCATCTTCCACTGCTTTCCCAGGCCATCAGCAGAGAGCCGGATTGGAAGAGGTGCAGCTGGGACAAGACCTGGCATGCATATGTGATGCCGGTGACGCAGGCTGAGGCTTAGCCTACTACCCCACAACGCCAGCGCCGCAAATGTGTTTTGAGCTTTGACCGTGTCCCAGGTTCCTGACAGGGTCTTAGTGAGGGCTGCCATGGATGGCTGGATGTGGTGCTGCCCTCTGGTAGCCATGGCCTAGGGCAGGGCTGGCCAGGAGGGAAGCGATGGGAGCCACGAGGCCCCCTTACCTTGCTGGAGAAGGCACCTGTTGTGGGAAAATGCCATTACAAGACAGGTTTATTTTGGTGCAAAAGCTTTTGAAATCCATGCATTTTTTTTACAAGACGCATTTCCATGAACTTCCCGAAGCCCCGCTGTGTGCACGTACAGCTCACTCCTCCGCACGCTGCCCAGCACTGCTCTGTGCGTGCCGTCCCGCAGTCTGTCACACACCAGTCGATGTCCAGTCTTCCTGAAGCCAGTTTCCTTTCTCAAGGTCCCCTTTGTTCCTGGAGTGAGGATTTCTCCAGGGCCATTGATTTTTCTTCCAGTGATTTTGGTTCGTGTTCTTAGAAAAGGGCCAGAAAAGCTGAGTGGGGGGGCTGTGAGGTGAGGGTGGGGCCATCTGGCCCTGCAGACTTCCCTGAACCATGAGGCAGAGGTAACGAGCCATGAAGGGCTCAATCGCTAAAGACCAAACATAGACGTTTTTTTCCCTGCGATGCCAACACTAGTGCTTGGCTCCTCTCCAGGTAATTACTGCTGGTTTTAGCAAAGACCCTAGCCTCAGGCAGGCTTGCTTTTCCCTAGCAAGGGGTCTAGAGCTACTCCCTGGGCTTCATGTGCTCTCATGGGGAGTGGGAAGGCAGGGGACATGGCCATTTGCAATGTGTGCCCACGTCCTCATTGGGTGCCTGCTTCACTTCTGCCCTTTGTCGGCCCTGGGGTCTGGATCTTCCGCGCCAGTAGGGTGCCATGCTCGCATCCCCTGGTGACCCCTCTCTTTCCCACCCTCGCTCACCCTCAGGTCTCTTACGGCGATTTTGACTTTTGAGCTTGGGGCGGGGAAGGGTGGAGGAAGAGTGAAGGTTCAGTTCTTCCAATCTGCCTGGGAGCTTGCACGGGCACTTCCAACATCTAGCAAAGTGACTCCAATGAGCTTGGTTTTGCAAATTAGTATAGAAAAATGCAAAAGAAGCAGCTCACAAACAATAAAAACAGAAAACATCCTAAGAGAAAGAACATTTCTGAGTAGTGATTAATAAAATAAAAATGCAAGCTAACTTATTAAATGGCAAAGTCCATTTATAATGCTGTTAAAGATAACATCTGATTATTGTTTATACTCTTGCCAATTATTCTGTTGGACTTTTTACTTATTTATTTAGTAGAGTTATTAAGCCTTGGCTATAATGTGTGTTAAAAATACATTGTTGCAGCAAGTTCGGCTGCTGCCTGGGACATTGGCATTCTATATGAGCACCTGTTCCAGTCTCAGAGGCTCCACTTCCGATCCAGCTCCCTGCTAATGTGCCTAGGAAAGCAGTGGGAGATGGCCCGAGTGCTTGGGCACCTGCTACCCATATGGGAGATGCAGATGGAGTTTCTGTCTCCAGTTCTGGCCACTGCAATGACGTACATGAGTGAACCAGTGGAAGGAAGATCTCTCTCTCTCTCTCCCTATAACTCTGCCTTTCAAGCACATTTTAAGAAAAAGTTGTATCTGTTCCCTTCTTCCACTCTGCCCAAATAACTAACACTAATGATGTTTACAAGCTTAAATAAGGAGATGGGCAAGGAAAAATCCAATGGCTTCATCAACCAAAAAATGCAGTGTGACAATATTCTTAATAAACTAGTTCAAGTAATTCAACAAGGAGATTCTTTTGCGTTGGTAACAGGTACAGGTAACAAGGAAAGTTGTGCAAAGGCACAGCATCTAAAGCATAAATCAAAACCTGTTAGAAATATCCAGGCAGGAAAATCAGACACGGGAGAAAAATGATTGCAGAGGACCACAACAATGTGTGAATTAAGAGAGAACAGACGGGATGGAGTTTCAAAAGTACTTTTGTTGTTGTTAAAAATGTTAGCATTCTTTAGATTACAAAAGAAATCTCAGAATCTACAAAGGAGAAATTTCACAAAATAATCTCCAGTATATCCACAAATGGGAAAAGGAGTAATTACAATAGTAAACCCCCAAATGGATGAAAAGGAAAAACCATCATTCTAAACAAAAATTATTTACCTAAAAATCCCTGGATTGAAGGAAACCTTGGACGTACAACTCCAGGGGACTTGACTGTGAGGACGTACTTGTTATTCAAGTGAAGGGAACAGTGTTCTTTATAAGACACTCATGACCTCTGACCCTGAAAATGACAGCACTCCTTCCCAGCCCAGAAGAGACAGAGACATCTGCCAAGGTTAGAGCAGGCACGCTAACCAAGACAGAGGTGGAAATCCAACTACCAGGAAGTATCTAAGAAATCACAACAGATGTCAGTGTGTGATGAAAAAGAAAAATAAACTTCGGGAACATCTTAATGGAGAAAATAACTCACGGTCCTGGAACGTGCAAGTCGACATGCTGTTACAGTTTCCTATCTCCTCTACACCTCTTTTACGTCCCCTTTTCCCATTTCTGACCTGTACAGAGTAAACCTGAAAATCTCAGAAGACATAAATGATAATTTTTAAAAAGCAAAGATTCCAATGGTTAAAGTAGGAAGCAGACCAAGAACCAGGTAAGGATATAAAAGGATGCTCAAAACAGCAATCTCAAACAAAGGCATTCCTGTTAATTACACGAGAATTCTGGTCTTCATGTCTATCATCCAATACTGCTCCCTAAGTTCTTGCACATTTAAGGAGGCAGCAACAAAAGTAACAGCTGCAAACGCGGCACAATACACACTTAAGATGTTTGGAAATGGGGCCAGCGCTGTGGTGTAGTAGGTAAAGCTGCCACTTGCAGTGCCAGAATCCCATATGGGCACGGGTTCAAGTCCCGGCTGCTCCACTGTCAATCCAGCTCTCTGCTATGACCTGGGAAAGTAGTGGAAGATGGCCCAAGTCCTTGGGCCCCTGCACCCACGTGGGAGACCTGGAAGAAGCTCCTAGCTCCTGGCTTCGGATTGGTGCAGCTCTGGTCATTGTGGCCATAGGGGGAGTGAACCAGTGGATGGAAGACCTCTCTCTCTCTGCCTCTCTTTCTCTCTCTGTGTAACTCTTTCAAATAAAATAAATAAATCTTTAAAAAAAAAGATATTTGGAAATGATGATGGCAAGGCTAGACATTCTAAGAATAAGAACATAAAAATGCTGGAATTCGTTAACACTAGCTTTGCAGCATGGCCGGGTGTGACAAACACATGAGTATCACCAGCTTTGGTTTATCCTCATTAATTACTGTGTTAGCGGGACAAATCCGTGTCCTCAAGAAACGAGACATCAAACTTCTAACAACCACGGTCATGAAAATGCATGAGAATGGCGTGGAGGGCGTTGGGCAGCTGTGCCCAGAGCTGTGTGAGATCACCTGTCGCTACAGCAGGAGGCAGGCGGGGCCGGGGCTGAAGCCATTGCAAGTACCTGCGCCTGAGAGGGAGACGGGCAAAAGGGCTGGTTCTTCTGCAACCTTTTGAGCCTCTTAGAAGCCACAGTGAACCCAACTTCATCTGCTGCAGCTTACAGGAGCGGCACTGGGACTGAGACGCAACAGGATTTCCCCCTGTGAATCGCACACTCGCTGTGATCCTGGCTCTTATTTTATGGTGATGACACATATGTGCTAGGAGCTGGAAGCTGGGCACCCAGCCTCGAGTCAATCCCGAGTTTTGCACCTGAGTCATTAGGACGGAGTTAGAAGTGCCAGAGCTGCTGTGGTCTCCCGTATCTTCTTCCAGCCAGGCTCACTCTCCACAGCAGGGCCCAGCCTTTTGAGCTGTCCTGGGGAGATCCAACAGGTTTGTGGTTTTGGGGTTGCCAGCAATTACTTGGTCAGCACAAGGGCCAGAGTTCACGTAATAAAATCCCTCTGCAAGAACGCCATGTTCGGTTAAAGCCAAGCAGCTGCCTCGGGGCGTTCCCTGGGGGGATTCGGCAGCCCTGAGACTCTGGAAGGCACTGGGCCAGGGCCTGCAGCTCCTGTGGGCGATTCAGGGGAGGGAGGCCGACAGGTACCGGGGCAGCAGCGGGCTGTGGCCCAGACGGCAGGTGCATAGCTGCGGGTGTGTCGTGGGCTTCCTCATCTGGCCACAGTGGTGGGTCACCGAGTGAACCCCAAGTCCCTGTCTCTCGTTCAGCTCCCGCCCTGCCGAGGGACAGGCCCTGGGGACACCGTCAAGACCAGTTTAGTGGATTTTCACAGGATCCCAGACGCCTGGCAGACGCCTGGCCTCCCTCCAGCTCCCGCTGTGGCGTTCCTTATCTGAGTGGTAAATTTTATCTCTGCCCTTCATCTCTGCAGACTCTCCATTGCACTTGAAGGAAAAGACTGTTCCAAGATTCGATTTTGCAATCTCGAGGAAGACGTGAAAAACAAGTTTCTCAGAAAAATCCCAGTTCTAGCCAAGCTGAAGAAACAGAACCCATGATGGTTGAGGACGCCGATGGCTGGGGTGGGGACCTGAACCCCAGCTTCGCACGCACACCAGAGGCCCGAGTCCTCCACCAGGGACACAGAAGCTGGCTCCCTAGAGGCTGCCATGCCACCTGTCCCGTCCTGCCCAGCGAGGCTGTCTGATGAGCTGGGCTGGTCCAAGTGCCAGATGCCTTGGCTGGGCCCCGGCAGGCCCTCCTCTACCTCCATGCCCCACTCTCTGCCCACACACAGCACCTGCAGCAAACACTGCCAAGCGACACCTGGCTCTCCCAGGCCTCCTGTGAGGACCACAGGAAAGATCAGCAGGTCCGACGGCACCTCTGTGAGGGAGGGGCACCCCTGCGGTGGACCCTGAGTGGAAAGGGAGAGCGCCACCCGGAGGCCACAGAGAGCACATCCTGGCCCTGCACCTTCCCGGCTCAGCACAGCCCACACGGCTGAGCCCCGAATCAGGGGACCGTCAGCGGCGCTTACCCAGAGCGCCCCGTTCCTGACCTGGCGCGCACCGTGACCCTGGTACTGCCGCGTGGTTAGTGCATAACCAGTCAGCCTACAGGTCAACACAACAACACAAAACAATCTCCTTAGACTCTATCTTGAGGACAAGGAAGAAGCGGGGCAACGACAGAGCAGTCATTCAGCCTCAGTCTGCAGAGGAAGCGCTCAGAGGCTTCCAGCTGAGAGGCTTCCAGCGTCAGCAACGCACTTAGAACAAGAAGGGGATCAGAATTTTTCTGAACTTCGGGTAGTCTTCAAACTTCTCGAGGTACCACCTAAAAACAGAACAGCAAGTATTTAAAAAGGAACACATTAGACCACTCAGACGTTTACCCGATGCTAATACAATGGATATTAGTTTTTTTTTAAAAAGTTTATTATTTATTTATTTATTTGAGGCCGGCGCCGTGGCTCAATAGGCTAATCCTCCGCCTGCGGCGCCAGCACACCGGGTTCTAGTCCCGGTCCAGGCGCCGGATTCTGTCCCGGTTGTCCCTCTTCCAGGCCAGCTCTCTGCTGTGGCCAGGGAGTGCAGTGGAGGATGGCCCGAGTCCTTGGGCCCTGCACCCCATGGGAGACCAGGAGAAGCACCTGGCTCCTGGCTTCGGATCAGCGCGGTGCTGATTGGAGGGTGAACCAATGGCAAAAGGAAGACCTTTTGCTCTGTCTCTCTCTCTCTCTCACTGTCCACTCTGCTGTCAAAAATAAAAATAAAAAAATAAAAAAAATAAAAAGTATTTATTGATTTGAAAGGCAGTTAGAGAGCAAGAGAGACGGAAAGGGAGAGGGAGAGAGAAAGAGATCTTCTGTCCTCCGACTTACTCCCTGGAGGAAGCCATGAGCCTGCTAGTCCCTTCCTGCTCTCCCACATGGATGCAGGGCACAAGCACTTGGGCCATCCGCTGCTGCTTGCCCAGGCCTGTCAGCCGGGAGCCGGACTGGAAGTGGAGCAGCCAGGACTGGGACTGGTGCCCATATGGGAGGCTGGTGTCGTAGGCGGTGGCTTAACCCGCTGTGCCACAATGCTGACCCGCAGACTTCTTGTTATAAAAGAATAAAAGGGTGTTTACTAGCAGAGAAAAAAGCTGTGGCATTTTCAATACAGAGTTTCATTTGGTCTTCACCACGAATGATGACATAATCACAAAGTGCGATTCAGAAGAGGGGACTCCCGGGTAAGTCCCTCTGTTGGGAAGGAACAGTACTGACCCATGACGAAACCTCTGATGTCTCTACCTGGGAGTGCCGATCCCACCCGCCAAGGGGAAGGGTGCAGTGATGGGTGGGGTGGGGAGAGACTCCCAGATGCCATGCGTGACCCTGATGGCTGCCTGCTGTCCCCAGAACCACCAGGCGAACTTGGTGCTGGGGGCTCTGGGACAGCTCTAACGGAGGATCCAGTACCATCTGGGAAATGCGATCTGCCTTTGGCCACAGCTCAGCCCTGCACTTAGCAGATGGACTTTTCCATTGCTGGGTCTGAGCTGACATGCTGCTGCCTTCCATGGAACGGTGACTGGCCCCTCCCCACGTGACGGCCTGCGTCATGTCCAGAGTGTGCCGGGGCCAGGTTCACTGAGTCAAGCACTCCAACGGCATGACTCCAGCCTGGGGCCCCCAGGTCCTCCAACCAGTCTCCCTCAGGATACGGCTGACGCCACGAGTGACTGACCAGAGGCACTTCCTGAGTCACGCTGTGTGTGTCTGTGTCCGCCGCGCGGCCAGGGGGAGAGTGAGGCAGCGTCTCACAAGCACATCTCGAGTGTCCCTGGCGGTCTGACCGTGACCCCTCACTCCCAGTGTCTTCAGGACACCAAATGGGTTCTTTAAAGTGACTCCTCCCACACCGTGTCCTGCCCCCTTGGCCCTGGGGCGGGCCGCTGGCTGCCCTTGGACTTGGCCCCTCTGGCCTCAGCTTCTTCATCTGTTGGATTAGACAGACGCCGTCTGAATTCATTTCAACTCTGATGTCCTTTGAGTACTTATGAGCTGGCTCACAGGTGCTTCCAGGGAGCTGAAGGAAGTGCAGGAGCCACTCTGGGAATGGTGTCATTTCAGGGGGTGCCCAGGGCCCCCAGCCCACCTGGGACCCCAAGTTCAGAGCCAGGGCCTGAGCCACCACCCAGCTGGAGGCACCCATGTGCATGAGACCTGTGAGTGGGGCCCGACTCCGGCTTTGGGGCTCCCTCTAACAGCTGGTGCCCGGTTACAGCCTCAGCTTTCATCCGTGTTGGGCAGTGCAGACCCCTGAGTCCACTACTTGGTATTCAACTTGACCATGGACTCAGCAGGATAAATTCAGAGGCCACAAACGCGGCAGAGAAAACCATGCTGACATGGGTCTGAGGACTGCCCAGGGCAGGGATTCGTCTGGTTTCCTCCTGGTTAGCTCAAGGTCAGCAGGACCGGGGATTCAGCAACTTCACAGGACATTTGAGAAAGCAAACCTGAAAGCTGTTAGGAAGAAGTTGCAGGACAGGGGACAAGTGCGCCAGGACTTACTGGTGATGCTGCTCCGCTCTGGTGAGCAGGACACAGAACGTGAACATGGCAAAGGCGCTGCCTTGCAGGGACCAGCTGGCCAGGGCGAAGCCGCACCACTCCGTGATTTCTCCAAAGTAGTTGGCGGCGGTCACGAACTCAAACAGGCCTCCTAGACAAGACACAGGCAAAGCAGTGACGGCTCCTGATGGATGCTAATCAATCCTTGCTCAGAGAAGTTCATGGGGAAGGGAAATTAAAGGGTAAGCTTTTTATTTTGGTGCAAAAGATTTTGAAATCTGTGTGCGGTTTTTTCACAGTTTGCATTTCCCATGAACTCTTTGCCAGCAAAAACTCAGCTATGGAAAGACATGACCTTGATAGAGAGCTGATCAATGAGATTCACCCGACAGCACGAGCTTTGCTGCTTTTCATCATAGCCCCTGGCCGTCAGCCATGTGAGCACAGCAGTCTCTGTTTACACAGATACCGTACGGATCTCTAGTTCCGCTGGAAGACGTTGGCTTCCACCTCACAGTCAATGGACTGTGCTGACAATAGCTATGCCAGCACAGAGAATAACACTCAACAAGGACAAGCTTAATGAAACAGACCCACGTGGACCCTGCCAACAAGTGAAGTCAACGTTTGTTTTCGAGCACAGCTTTACTGGTTCACTCACCGAATTTTCCCAAATACATGGAGGCTGCGTATGCACCAGGCTCTGCACAGCCTTCCCACCAGCTAGAACCATGGACTCCAGGAAGGCACACAGGGTGCTTGAGGGGCAGAGCAGGGCAAGGGTCTGTCCATGGCCAGCAGTCCCTGGGGGCAGGAGGGCTCCAGGAGGAGGAGGAGCCACAGCAAAGGCCCCAAGGCCAGAGGGCAATGGCCAGCACCCTGCAAGCCCCAGGGGAAGAGGGGGTCAGGAGACCCCTGAGGTCTATCTGCATCTGTGGCCTTGTGGGTAGTGACTGGGGCTGCTCAGGGTGTCAGGGGGCTCTGGGTTCTAACTCTGCTGTCTGCTGGGAGGAGAATCATCTGTGGGTTGCAAGGGTAGAACGTTTGGAGAAGAAAGGGTTGCGCCGTAAGACTTGAAGCCAGTTTCCATCAGAACCTGGCATGGCGTAGAGACCACAGGCACTGGAGGCACTGGGGCTGCACGGGAGACGGCACCCACCTCCCGTGCAGGTACTTGGGTCTCCCTAGCTGGTGTTCATCTGTAAGCCGCTCCCTTTGTCTTGGACCAGTTGCCGTGACTGTCAAGCGCTGGAAAGGAATCTGAAGGTCATCGCCCCGGGCTGCAGAGGGCACAGCTGTGTGTAGGCGACCGGTGGAGTGACAAGCCCTTTGGAGATCAGAGCACGTAGACAGAGGAAGAGCTGTCACTCAGCGCAGGAGTGGCAGCCACATGCCCTGAGCCATCGTTTACGGGCTGGGGCGGGACTCTTGGCTTCCACCTTCCTCATCTGTCCTTGTCCCCCTGCCGCCTCCTGGGCTCCGGCATAAAACGGCGCCGCCGCAGATCTGAGGAACCTCCCTGGCCAGCGCTCCTGCTGCCGGCCTTTTCAAAAGGTGGACCTGAGTCTTGGTTCACCTCACACAGGCTTCCTGGAATTGGCTGTTCAGACACGTGCTCTGTCCCAGTGCTCGGGGCTTCTTCCCGCGGTTTCACAACCGTTCGAGGGCACCGCTTCCCTGCCTTTTATGGCTCTCATGAAAAATGAAAATATCAACTTCATTTCTTAACTGTTCCGTTTCTGTCTGCTCTGTCCTGGCAGCGAGTTTCTGCGTGTGTGCGTTTTATTTTGCCAATCAGAAAGAATGCATTTTAGAGGGGAGTTTGCCCTATGTTTTAGGGGTTCCCTGTTCCTCTCCACTCAGTCTCCAGGGTCAGGTCCTGCTGTCTGTGTTTCTGCCCGGCCTGTCCTCAGAGCTGCCGTGGATGTCCATCAGCCGGACATGGCCTGGGAGGCCAGTGGAGCTGGGCCTGTCCTGGCTGCGCCGTGAGGCCCCTGCCCGCAACCTCTAAGAAACCAGGCTTGGAGACTGTGAGTTTGACCCTGTGATTGCTTTGTTTCTGTTTTAAAATTCACCCTGGAGTTTGGATTGCAATCCTCCGCTTTGTGGAACGCGTCCCTGCCGGCCCAGGTTTGCTTCTTCTGTGGCTTGCACAGGTGTGGTGGCTATGCCTTTTGTTACTGAGGTTTGAATGTGCTGCAGGAGAAGAGGGCATCACGGGACTGGAGCTGGGACTCAGCAGGTTAAGCTGCCGCTTGCAGCACTGGCGACCCATCTTAGTGCTTCTTCCAGTCCCAGCGGCTCCTCTTCCAATCCAGCTCCCTGCTATTGCACCTAGGAAAGCAGCAGAAGATGGCCCAATCCTTGGGCCCCTGCCATCTATGTGGGAGACCCAGGAGAAGCTCCTGGCTTTGGCCTGGACCAGCCCTGGCCATTGCAGTCATTTGGGGAGGGAACCAATGGATGGAAAAATCTCTCTGTCTCTCCCTCTCTCTGTGACTCTGCCTTTCAAATACATAAATGAATCTTATTAAGGGGGAGGGGGCAGTGCCAGCCACTGGCAGCAGATGGAGGCAAAGGCCAGCGACACTGAGGCTGCACCCCCACGGCTGTGCCCCAGGAGGCAGGTTCCTCCAGCCAGGGCAGGACCCCCCTCCCCTCCCCGTCCCGGGGACACCCTCTCTTTTGGAAGGGGAGTTTCTCAAATCTGCCACCTTATGGCTCCTGACATTTTCTGCATCTCTTTACTCCGCCTCCCAGGACTTGAGCACTGCCCAGTCTCAGGCTGGCTTATGGCAGCCCCTCCTCCAGGCAGGGTCTCTCCTGGAAAGAGTTCAGCTCCCTAGGGTGTGGAGTAGGGAATGGGGCAGCCTCCGGCCAGCCCCCTCTGGCCCCTCCCAAGGAAGGGGCTCCTTTTGAGACCACAAGAGGGTGCAGTCTGCTCACAAGCCCACCGCCAAAGTGGGCTCCTCCTGCAACCCACCCTGGCAGGGGCTGAGGGTGCTGGCAGCACCCACAGCAGCTCCTCTTCCCTGCCCGGGCTGTCACACCACTGCGACTTCCAGATGTTGGTTCGGCTGACGATCCAGCATCTCAGGGCCGCGGTTTCCGTCGCTAGAGATTGGCAGAGTTTTTTGGTCCATTTGTTTTTGTTGTTATTCTTGTCTGGTTTCCAGGAACATCAGTGGAAGCAGGCCAAATGAAGCGGTGCCAGGCAGTTTGTCCAGGAAGGTGTTAGTTTTCCCTCATGTGTTGGTTTTTCTTTTTCTGTTTTTAGAAGTGCGATTGGCTTCTATTTTAACACCTGCCTGGTCCTCTCGTATTGCACTTTCACAACCCCTTGAAAGACACTGCAAGTGCTCACTTCATATCGTGCTCCTGTTGGCGCTGAGCTCGGAGCTCTCTCCAGCTTGCTCGCGGTCCTGACTCCTCGCGGACCCTGCCCCTTTGGAGCACGCCCCTTTCTAACTCTGCGCGGCATGCTTCCTTGGGTCCTCAGAGGCTCCCGTGGAAGGCAGGCCCCACTGCGGACTGGGTTTCCCCTGTGCCTCCACCCTCAGACCATCTGGAACCTCACTCATGGCTTGAGGCTTTGCACACCATCTGGGCATGAGACTGGCTGCTGGCTCTCAATTCTCATAAGGTGCTCCTGGATTCCAGCAGTCACTTAGGTTTTCTCTCCTGAAAATTACTACTTCTCTCTACGGGACACTGATGCTCTTACAAAGATTCTTTGGAGGCTGGCACTGTGGTGCGGTAGGCTAAGCCACGGCTTCAACACCGATATCCTGTATGGGTGCTGGTTTGAGTCCTGCCTGCTCCACTTCTGATCCAGCTCCCTGTGTAACGTGCCTGGGAAATCAGTGGAAGATGGCCCAAGTTCCTGGGGCTCTGTACCCACATGGGAGTCCGATGGAGTTCTGGGCTCCTGGCTTCGGGGAGTGAACCCGCAGATGGAAGGTCTCTCACTCTCTCTCTCTCTCTCTCTCTGTCTCTCCCTCTCTGTAACCCTGCCTTTTGCATAAAAATAAATAACTCTCTAAAAAGAGATTATTTAAAAATTTAAATAAGCATTTGTTTAAATGGAGGCAAAGGCCAGCGACACTGAGGCTGCACCCCCACGGCTGTGCCCCAGGAGGCAGGTTCCTCCAGCCAGGGCAGGCCCACCCTGCCCCGGGGACACCCTCTCTTTTGGAAGGGGAGTTTCTCAAATCTGCCACCTTATGGCTCCTGACATTTTCTGCATCTCTTTACTCTGCCTCCCAGGACTTGAGCACTGCCCAGTCTCAGGCTGGCTCATTCAATTAATAATTTAAATGAAATTATTTAAAAAATTAAATAAGCAGTGAGTGACATGTTGAATTGCTTTCAACAAGCTATCTGTCCTATTTTGTACTGCTACAGACAAAAACCACAAATTCTTCCTCATCCCCTCTTTTCAAATCCGGGTATTGCCTTTTGCTTCACCACATGCCATTCCACAGGGCCAGGGTGGAAGGTTCTTTTGTTATTCTAATAAAGCAATGGTAGTGACCCTCAGCATATAAATACCATGTTGCTATTTGTCAGAACTGGAGAGGAGAGGGGCACCGCACCTCCCTTTTGGTACCTACCCCTGGGTATCTTGTATCCCATCTCCCCTGGTCGCCGGAGGACGAGAGGGGCACCACACCTCCCCTTTGGTACCTACCCCTGGGTATCTTGTATCCCATCTCCCCTGGTCACCGGAGGACGAGAGGGGCACCACACCTCCCCTTTGGTACCTACCCCTGGGTATCTTGTATCCCGTCTCCCCTGGTCGCCGGAGATTCCTCAGGATGTGGTCTGAATGGATGTTTATCAGCAGCCCCAGGAACCACAGGGCAAAGCCTGTCAACAAAGAGTGCAGGGTTACCACAGTGAATGAGCCATACGAGGTCAGCATACGAACCCGCTCTGCGGCACAGCGCAGTACCCGCCATTGTGGGGGAGGTGGCACAGGGCGCTTTTCCAAAAGTCCTACTCCATCATCTACTCATTCAAAATCCTAGGGCCCGAGGATGCAGGGGTGGCCCAGGCTCCCAGCTGAGGTGTCAGCAGCATCAGGGAGGGAGACGAACGGATCCTGCTCTTCCGTCATGGCAGCTCGGTGAGCAAGGCCACCGTCTCCACACTGCGGACGGCGGGAGACTGGCACCTGCCCCATCCGTAACAGCAGAGTGGCGTCCTTTGTTTGTAGGCAGGTCTGGTCCTCGGCTCTCCCCACAACCTGCTTTGAACAATGTCATGCATGTTCATGGCTGCCCACTGGTCAGCACCTGCGGTCAGCGCTGCCTCCTCGGCTCCCGATGCCGGGGCACGGCTCTTCCCGGAGCCCTGGGGCTGCCCAGCGTCTCCTCTCCTGTTCTCATGAGCCGTCAGGGGCACCATCATTTAGGGGAGACTTCTCAGCCTCCCTTCAGCTAATTCTAGCAAGGACAGGTAAAATGCCTACCTGGCGTTTGATGACAGCACTAATGCTGATAAAAGAGGTTAACTTGATTGTTCTATCAAAACAAATGTGAAAGGCAGATTGGCACTTCCATCCAGTACCAAAGAAATGGACACTTGGGGTGACACCGAGTAATTCTTCACAGATGTGTCCATGGACAGCTCCTGGTGCTGCCACTGGGGTGGCTTTCCCTCTTAAGCAGGTTGTACCATACTTTGAAATAGATTTTATAAGTCAGATCCACAAATGTATAATGGAATTGCTACCTTCTTTTGGATTTCAATATGTTGTCCCAAGGTGATTCAGCTCCTAATACAAGGTTCTAGAAAGAATTATGTGGTCTAAATTCTGTGTGTGCTTTGTTTCTCTTTCAGAAGGCAAGCTCCCTTTATCACGTGTAATGGAAGAAAAATAGCACTTGTGCTAAGCTGAACACTTAATTCCACGTGTAAAGTCCTTGCCTAAAATATGTGAAAGTTTTCAGAATCAAAATGGAATCAAGACCTACAAGACAGACAGAGAGAGGACAAAGGCTGGAGGTTGTGACGGACAGGCACCCATGATGGTTGCCTGGCAATAAGAACCATCACACAAGACCTCACTGTACCTCCAGCCTTGCACAGAAGCCACTGCAACCTCACACACATGGACACTTGGCCAAAGACGCTGTCCAACAACTGTATCCCGCATTGCCACCCTTGCTGTCTGTGTGGGGAGCTAAGCATGGTTGTTTCTGGAACACCCCACGCAGTCCTTCTCCTTCTACCTTTGAAAAGTCCTGGGTTGCACCCTCTTGGAACACGCCCACAGTTCCAGTCACTGCCAGGTCCCCAGCAAACTTCCTGCTCTTTGCAGAGTCTCTTTCTGCTGGTTATTTAGGTTGGCAAATCTCTTCGACTCTCTACTTTCACTGTGAGGGAAACTATTCTGTTGTAGTTTTCCTATTACTTAGCTTGACATGGAAACTATCATAGGTGATATCCAGAGTGCACACAATTTCCTGTTTCCTCACAAAAACAAACTCTGTGATGTGAACACAACACAAAACAGGCAAGCTAGTTTGTTTCCCAAGTGGCACGCTTTTCCCCTTTGAAGTCCTGCTCAGCGCAGCGCAGTCCAGAGGTCTGTACAGAACTTCCTGACCCACCTCACAGGCACATCCAGGTGATACATCTGTCAGCCCAGCTGCTTCAGATGACGTTGAAAACGCAGAGACGAAAGACTCCCTTGTTGATGCTGTTCATCAAAAGCACCCAAACAACTCATCCCAGAGATGCGTCCTCTGGGAGTCTCAGCTGATTTAAAACCTGCATCTTGGGGCCAGCATTGTTGGCACAGGGGGTCAAGTGGCTGCTTGTGACATCAGCATCCCATGGCCGAGCACCAGTTGAGGGCCAGCCAGCTCTGCTTCTGATCCAGCTCCCTGTTAATGCACCCGAGAAAGCAGTGGGTGATGGCCCACCTGCTTGGGCCCCTGCCACCCATGTGGGAGGCCAGGATGGAGTTCCAGGCCCCTGCCTTTGGCCCGGCCCAGCTCTGGCTGCTGCAGTAAGCTGGGAAATGAAACCAGTGCATGGAAGATCTCTCTTTGTCTCTCTGTTGTTCTGCCTTTCTTTTTTTAATATTTATTTATTTATTTGAAAGTCAGATTTACACAGAGAGAGGAGAGGCAGAGAGAGAGAGAGAGAAGTTGTCCATCCACTGGTTCACTCCCCAACTGGCTGCAATGGCCAGAGCTGCGCTGATCCGAAGCCAGGAGCCAGGAGCTTCCTCCAGGTCTCCCACACAGAGGCAGTGGCCCAAGCACTTGGGCCATCTTCTACTGCTTCCCAGGCCATAGCAGAGATCTGGATCAGAAGTGGAGCAGCCGGGTCTCGAACCGGCACCCATATGGGATGCTGGCACTTCAGGCCATGGCTTTAACCTTCTGTGCCACAGAGCCAGCCCCCTTATACCTTTCAAATAAAATAAACACTTTTTTTCTTTTTAAAAGCCTGGATATCCTAATTTTTTTATTTGACAGGTAGAGTTATAGACAGTGAGAGAGAAAGGCAGAGAGAAAGGTCTTCCTTCCGTTGGTTCACTCCCCAAATGACCATTATGGCCGGTGCTGTGCTGATCCGAAGCCAGGAGCAAGGTGCTTCTTTCTGGTCTCCCATGCGGGTGCAGGGCCCAAGCACTTGGGCCATCCTCCACTGCCCTCCTGGGCCACAGCAGAGAGCTGGACTGGAAGAGGAGCAACCGGGACTGGAATCCAGTACCCATATGGGATGCCGGTGCCACAGGCAGAGGATTAACCAAGTGAGCCACAGTGCCGGCTGTGGATATCCTAATTTAAAACAAAACCAAACCAGAAATCTCCCTACTTCTTCTTTGCTGCCCACTTTCGGGGGATCTGTTGGGGGGAAAGGTTGAAATCGCTGATCTGCCATTTACTAGACTTGCACGTGGGGCCAACGTCTGACCTCCTGCCCTGCCATGTGTCACCTGTGGGCAGCACTGGGAGGAACCCAAACACCTGGCACTTGTCTTCTTCTGACAGCCAGGAAGCAGGCAGGGCCCGAAGGTATCTGGGACAGCACTCAGTCAAAACCATGTGGTCCAGCGCTGTGCGGAACTTCCGCAGCGAGCAAGGGATCCTGGGATGCTCTGTCATCCAACCTTCCCTTCACGGAGCCGGACGCAGTTCTCATGGCTGCCGTGCCCGGTGCTGCGGGGGCAGAGGCGCTGCTCTTGGAGCAGAATTGTAACTCAGAGGCAGCAGTGTTTAGAAAAGTGAGTTTCTTCATCAAAGAGGGTTAGTTTGCTTATTATTATATTATCATTTAGAATTATTTATACTAAAAATGTGTATTTATCATTATATTACTTCCAGTATGATAAATTCATATGCTGGGAGCAAAAGCAAAATGACACGGATGGTCACTTTATGTATCTTGAAGCCGGCACTGCAGGGCAGTGTGAGACCATGGGTGATCGACGCCAGCCCCCTGACGACCACATCTGAATGGGATGCCCTTTCTAAAGGCCCAAAATGTATACAGGAGTCCTTCTTATATGAAAGATCCCTGGAGCGTGTATTTTTAATGCTCATGCAAACAGTGTCGATGTGAATGTTCTGTTTTCATTTTTGCTCTGGACTTGTAAGGTTGTCATTACAACTAGAACATGTGCATCAGTTCATATTAATTGCTACATATAAGAAAAAAAAAATCAAAGGCTTCACAAACCCAAAAGTTTGTTCAAGTCAGGATAATCGCAGGGGTTGGCGCTGTGGCGTACCAGATTAAGTCTCCCTCTGCGGTGCTGGCATCACATAAGAGCACCAGTTCAAGTCCAGGCTGCTCCACTTCCAGTCCAGCTCCCTGCTAATTGCCTGGGAAAGCAGTGGAAGATGGCTCAAGTCCTTGGACCCCTGCACCCACATGGAGACCTGGAAGCAGCTCCTGGCTCCTGGCTTCAGATCAGCCCAGCCCTAGCAGTTGTGGCCATTTGGGGAGTGAACCAGTGGATAGAAAACCTCTCTCTCTGTCTCTCTTGCTCCCTGTAACTCTGTTTCTCAAATAAATAAATCTTAAAGAAACAAAGTCCACTTGTATTATAGGAAAATAACCCAGAGTGACTCTCACCTAACGGAAGAGGCTCAGAAGTTACCTTGGAGCAGGTGTTCTGGCACAGCAGGTTAAGCCACCGCTTGCAACACTGGCATCCCACGTGGGCTCCAGTTTGAGTCCCGGCTGCTCCACTTCCAACCCAGCTCCCTGTTCATGAGCCTGAAAGATGGCAGAAGATGCCAGGGTCCCTGCCGCCCACGTGGGAGACCCTGATGGAATTCCAGGCTCCTGTTGGCTTGACCCAGTCCTGCATGTTGTGGCCATGTGTGGGGAATGAATCAGTGGATAGAAGAGTTCTTTCTCTGTGTCTCTGCCTTTCTCTCTGTAACTCTATAATTTTCCAGTGAATATATAAAGCTTTAAAAGAGACAAATTTTGCTAACTAGAAACTACTGGGCCATAAAAATGAAAGTGCTGGCTTGAATGAGGTGGACCTCCTGGCCGTGGACACTCACCTGAGAGGAACCGAGGGTCTGTCAGCCAGTCGTCGGGATAGACTGCATACTGGCTCAGGTACCTGCTCTGCAAGTAGCCGTTGTAGGCACAGAACACGAACGCCATTGCACACGCATACACCGGTGTTGGCTTCCCTCCTCGGATCAGAAACGGGAAGATCAGGGTCCTTAGGAAACAAACAGAAGCAGACTTCAAAGAAACAGAGAACAGGATTTCTGCAGGTCTGTTTTAAATGTCTTGGGTTGATTTTTTAAAACCTCTCTTCTTTGTTGCACATGTCACTCTTGCACTGACTGTATCTATGCCAACCACAGAATTTTTAGATAAAATATTAACTGTGTTTCAATAATGTAGGCCACAGTGAGCCAACTCTTGATTCTAATCACCCAGAATGTGAAACAGATACAGTGAGTCAAAGGGAGCCCATGGCTCCGCGAGGCTTCCCAAACTTCCACTATCCTGAACCATTAACCCATTCTAGTGGAGCAAGAGCAGGGGCTTGTGCACATCACCATCGCCATTGGCCTGTTCTGGTCCTGCCGCTCTCATTTCAAAACTCATAAAGAAAAGAAGGTGGAAAATGCCACTGCACTTGGGTTTTCTCTGTAACACCAGAGTATGCAGTGTGAAAAGAGAGGACATCACTATGCACGTACAAGTCTGCAGAGAACACAAGGAACTAGTGTGTTTGACACTAGCTGTGAGTTTGACAGCCTGAGGAAGTATACCCAGTCCTTGAAAGATGTGGATGACCAACGGTGACCCAAGAAGCAACAGACAGATGACTCACACTGTATCAATGACAGGATCTGAACTTGGACTTGGGAAATTCTAGAACAGGAACATCTAGCCTGGGGCTGAGGAGATTAAGCAGAGAGGATCGAAGGAGCTCCCAGGGGACATCAACATGTACGTCAACCGTGAGGCTGTGCTTGGCCTTACAGGACCTACAGAGGGCAAAGCCAGGGCCAGGAGGGAGCTGCGTGAAGAGAGGCAGGGGAATTGTTTCAGAGGAACGCGGCTGGTCTATTTCTTGATTTTGGTGAGATTACATGACAGCGCGCCATCACCAAAACTCCTCAAACCACAGACTGAAAATACATGACCTTTGATATTTATAAATTATACCTTAACGCAGCAGCAAAATGTTAAAAGCTCGCTCTTTGTTACCATTCTGGACATCTACTCCAGGGTCCAATCATCATTAGTCATTGATTATTAACAGCAATCTATCAGCACAAAAACAGAAGAAATGTTGGCCATGCATCCTCCAGGCACTGTCTCCCTGCAGGGCTCACTCAGCACCCTGGGAGATGTTCCCAGGGGTCCACAGCAGGCCAGGATCCCAAAGAAGACTTCACTCAGGTGTAGGACAAGGTGCTCATGGGAAACAAAGCATCATCCGTTTAGACCCCTCAGCAGGGAGGCAGTTGTATTGGCCTGATTTTTGTTGCTACAACAGAACACCTGATGCAGGCCAACTGCATAAAGCAAAGGGATTGATGTCACGCAGAGCCATGGAGGCTGACTCCCAGGGGTAGCCTCTGCCGCGGGCCTCACGGCGGATGGCGTGTGCCCATGGGAGGAAAAGGTTGCATCTCGAACTAGGAAGCTGGAGAGACTCAGGGTTGGGGTCAGGTTTACAACTCACGTGGGTGAGAGTTCAGAGGCTCACAAGAGCTGTCCTCAGCCCCACATGGGGAAGCTCCCTAGGGCCCCAAGGATCACCTACCAGGCCCCACTTCTTTTTTTAAAACAGATTTAGTTGCTTTTCAAAAAGAAAATCACAGAGAAGGGGAGAGAGATCTTCCATCAGCTCGTTCACTCCCCATATGGCTGTAATGGCCAGGTCTGAGCCAGCCTGAAGCCAGGAGCATGGAACTCCATCCAGGTCTCCCACAGGATGGCAGGGGCCCAAGCCATTGGGCCATCCTCTGTGGCTTTCCCAGGCACGTTGGCAGGAAGCTGGATTGGAAGCAGAGTTGCCAGAAGTTGAACCAGGACCAGCACTCCCAAGCCTCACTGTGCCAAAACCCAGTCCCAGGCCCCACCTCTTCAAAGTCCCACCATCCCAACACCACCCAGCTCCAACACAGCAACCTTGAGGCAAATACTCAAGCCATATCTGTGCCACAGCTGCTGTCGGCTGCCTGCAGGCTCTGATGGTGCCAGGAGGCTGATGGACGAGAACAGGGAACCCCAGCCGTCCCCTCTGTGACTCAGCGGGCAAGGGGCTGGTGGGGGCGGCTGCCATTTGGGAGGCAGGCTCACTGCAACCCCCCCCGCCCCCGCCAGCACTTTCCAGGCACTGGAAAGACTGGGTTCTGACAGGGATGTGTGTGTCTGGGGCCAGGGTGAGCAGCCACGGCCGTCAGGGAGTGCCCTGCCCCAGGTCTCCCCAAGTTCCGACTTCTACCAAGAAGATAAAAGTCCCTGGCGGAAGGCAAAGTGGCTTTCCCTCGGTCCCTGGGTGCACACAGAAGCACAGGGCTAAGCAGCCCACTGGCAAAGGAACTTGAAAGAAAGCTACCCTCTGAGTCCTGGCCTTTCCCAGGAGGCAAAATGCAGGCCTGAACAGAGTATTAGAACCCGAGTCTGAAGAAATTCAGGAAAAAGAGCAGGGAGTCCGAGCTGTGGGGCAGCAGGGCCTGGGGCTGCTTTAGAAAGATACCTGGTGAGACGGAGCTCAGGGGTCCCTCAGAATGGTTATGGGGGCATCTAGGGCCCCCCGAGGATACCAAAGCCCATGTGGGCCACATCCCTTCTACGTGGCGTGGAGAAGGCACACACACTCTCCTGTTCACTTTACATCTTCCTAAGGGGCCTTACAATGCCTAGCCCAGTGCAAACACCATGCCTGCGGCTGTCATTCTGTACTGTTGGGGAACAATGAGGAGGAAAGCCATCTGCACAGTTTTTAAAAAAGATTTATTTATTTATTTGAAAGTCAGAGTTACACAGAGAAAGGAGAGGCAGAGAGAGAGAGGGAGAGAGAGAGAGAGAGATCTTCCATCCGATGGTTCACTCCCCAATTAGCCCTAACAGCCGGAGCTGCAACGATCTGAAGCCAGGAGCTTCCTCTGGGTCTCCCAGGTGGGTGCAGGGCCCAAGCACTTGGGCCATCTTCTACTGCTTTCCCAGGCCATAGCAGAGAGCTGGATCAGAAGAGGAGCAGCCGGGACTAGGACCGGTGCCCACATGGGATGCCGGCGCTTCAGGCCAGAGCGTTAACCCGCTGTGCCACAGCACCGGCCCCTGTACCAGCAGTTTTAAGAGAAACATTTATGATCTACAGTTGGCTGAACCCAGACATGGAGGCCACAGATATGTAGGTGGCCCGTGCTCAGTTCCCAGAGATTTGGGCCCTTGAGCTGAACAAAAGCCACTCTAAACTCAGTGCAGAAAGGCAGGGTTCCAAAGGGAAAACCTGGGAAGCCTGCAGAGAGTAAATGGAACGGCCCGAGAAAGACCCGAGACTGGGCACCCTGACTTAAAAAGGAGGGAGGGATGGAGCAGCATGGGACTTCACGGGTTGCAGGAGTGGGGACACGGCACACGCAGCAACCTTCCCTCTGGGCAAGAGAATCCTGGGCAGAAAGCTTTTGGTCGACTTCTCCCAATCTGGTTCCGAGTTCGGGGCTGAATTCTGACCGTGTTGATGCCAGTGAGAGCGGTGGGAGTCTAGGCAGGCAGTCCTCAGCCTCAGGCCAAATCCAGTCTACCAGGGGCTGAGCTACCACTAGCTCCGGGGCTTCTGGTCAGGAGCCAGCGTGACATCCTGACTTGCCTTGCGGCACAGCACCTGCTCGGCTCAGTAGAGTTTTACTGCATTATTTGACTTGGACCCAAGACTGAAACTTCTCCAGACAAGTGGTGTGGCCTTGAAGCGCTGGGCAGCAGCTTTGGTGGCAGACTTGATGACACAGCCTAATGAATTCAACTGAAAATGCCAAGACAACAGCTCGCGGGTGCAAAGCCTATCCTGTGTCGTGCCAAGGACAACTAGCCATGTCGGCCATGCCAAGGTGCTTTGTGGACTTTCCACACTATTAAAATTAAAACAGGACAGGTGACCCGCAGTTCCACGTGGAGCTGCAGTGGGTCCAATTTCTCAGGTCAAACAGCAGGTACATCAGCGTCTGCCGAGCCTGGGGCCCCGTATTTAAAACCCATTTACCTCTCCTCTTCCATGGGAAGGTTCCGATCAGCGGTGTGAGAACACAGAACATGGCAGCTACCCCGGGGGGTTCAGAACACCCTGGTTGACTGACACCAACATCTGCATTTTCTTTTCCGTTTTTTTTTTTTTTTTTAACAGCTGACACGTGTCAAACTTCATTGAAGGCCAAGTTCTGTTCTAAACATTTATGCTATTGCATTTTTAAAAAATTTATTTGAGAGGCAGAGAGGGAGAGATGGAGGGAGAGGGAGAGGGGGAGGGAGCTTCTTCCAGGTTTCCTATGTGGGTACAGGGGCCCAACCATTTGGGCCATCTTCTGTTGCTTTCCCAGGCACATTAGCAGGGAGCTGGATGGGAAGTGGAGCAGCTGGGACTCGAACTGGCACCCATATGGGATGCTGGCACTGCAGGCAGTGGCTTAACCCGCTACACCACAGTGCCAGCCCCAACATCTGCATTTTCACAGATAAAACCCACGAAGCCCCATTACACACCAGCTGTGAACAACTACACGCACCTGGATGATGAGAGCGTGCCCTTTGAACTCTAGCAGGTAAAACATTATTCCCCCCAAACTAAAAAAGAGCCCCACTTTTCTCACTGCCCAGGCCCCAGGAGCCCGTGGTGCAGCTCCCTGAGGGGTGTCTATGTGTGCTTCCCGGGCAGAATTCTCCTCTGAGCAATGACGCAACACGCTCCCCGCTGAGCCCTCTCTCTGGTTCACGTTAGCTGCATGTGGACTTTCTGGAAAGACCAGAGTTGGGGACCGGGGGCACGGATGAGGATGGCTCTCTGGCCACCGCAATGTTCAGAGCTTTTGGCTGAGCCGTGAGGTCAGGGTCCGGCTCCGGGAGTGCCTGGGAGACGCCGACTCCGACTCCCGCAGCTTCTCACCCTGAGCTTGATGACCGTGGCGCTCGAGCTGAGCACGGCTTCTCCCGGTTGAGTGCCAGCCGAGAGAGACCTGAACGTGTGCTTTTTCTCAC